TTTCTGCTCTGCTCCACGTATTTCTACTGAACCTTAGTAGAAGTATTTTGGTGGTGAATACTGCCAGGCAGTGAGTAACCATTTTCCACTTTACTGAAGGAATATGTGGCTTTAATTCTTTCTTGCATCAGCTGTGGCCTTAATTTTACATTCATCTGATTGAATTCACTAACTTGGTGAAAAACTATGCCCCTTTCAAAAAAAAGTGCTTATAAACTTTCCGTAGTTACGTTTATGTTGGATTAATGAGTTGAATTAGCTCAGGCAACATAAACACAGTGGAAGAGTGCTACAAGGATGGCGAGGAGAGTGACCTCTTATTTCAGTGAGCTGGGGGTTCAGCTCTGCCATCTTTAAAAACTTACCCTTTCACTGGGGTTTCTCCATGTAAGATTTTATATCCACAGCAACTGCAGTAAAGATAAGGCAGTTTCCTCGATTTGCAGTACCAAAAATGGAAAGCAAAATCTGACTCTCAGGTTATAGGTACCTATAACTCCTAACACTCTTTTAGAATGGCACTTTACTTTTGTTTTGTTAAATATTTGGCTTGTAGTTGCAGCACTGTTTCACTAGCAAAGTCTTTCCCTCTTTGGGATCAGAAGACAATAACTTTGCTATTCAATTAGCAAATGCTATTTGCATTCACACAAATATTCCTAATTTGAAGCTTTTAAAAAACAAAAGGAAACAATTGAGTTCGGTTCAAAACTACAACTTGCCAAGGATAGCTACCCCCTGATAGGGTGCTCTGGTGACCCAACCTAGAACCGTGCGAAGCTTTTATGAGTGTTTTATGTCAGCCACAAGGACACAGGACATCTGGATGTGATGGTAGTAACAGATGCACACAAAAATACCGAGTTCTTTTGGCCTGGCCCTCTCCCATGATGGCTGGTGGCTTGAGATGAACTGTGCAGTGTCGGGTGCGTGGGTCCCCTCGCTGGCGCTGGCTCTGGGCACCCTCCCCACAGGCTGGCAGATGTGCAAGAGGTGGCAAGTCCCACTGTCACTTATGGCCAACAAGACTCAATCCTTCCTTCTTGGCTCCAGCGCTTGGCTGCAGTGAAGCATCTCCCTGTAGCCTGGTGGGTTTTGGATCCCACTGTGGGAACCCGGGACTTTGCTGCAGTCATGAGTTTCAAATCATGTGGCAGGTTCCCTGCAGTACCATGGCATCTGCTCTGGCTCAGTTCAGTACAATAAAGATAGCCTTGCGTTTTAGGGTTTATACGCCTCACAAAATAAGTTTTCACCGTATTAGCGCTTCAGGCAGTGTTCACTGAACTGTATTGCTGATGAGGAAAGAAAAAAATGCTTGGGAAAGCACTTCCCCATTCCAGGAAGTGAACGGTTGTTGCTGGGATCTCTGTTTAAAAGTTGGCAGCCTCCGGAATGATTACAGATGCAACTCCACTTCAGATGGCACAAAAACTAGCATTTATGCCTTCCTACTTGTTCCCTTCTCTTCTGAGGAACTGGTGGTACCTTGCTTGGCTCTGCTGAGATCAATCTGTGATTTTAATACATATTTTCTCTAAAGAACTACGATTAAAAAATAAGTAATACTGAATATTCATTACAGAACGTAAATTGCTGTGCCCTGGGCTATTAATCAGTGATGCTCTTTATGGTCTAAAAAGTGCTAGATTGTAACATGCAGAGAGTTGATGGGTCACGGGGTGCTCTTTCACCTCACTCCAAGCTGCTAAATCCCATTAAAATGGGAGCTAGAAACATATTGCATATATTTTTAGCATTTTCTCTCTGTGAATGCAATTACTGTTATCAACATAGAGATTGCATTTAATGATGAATAAAAAAGGAAGTGGTCTCTGTGGCTGTGTGGGAAGGGGCTTGTCCAGGCGCCCTCCCTGCTGGACAGCGGATGGCTCCTGAGTGCTCTCTAAAACCCTCATGCTAAAGCTGTCTACTGTTCACTGACTTGGCTTTCACGGGGAAATCTTATTGAATACTGGGATAAAAATTGTTACATGATCCTGCCCAATGCTAATCAATTATGCTTTAGAGGTCCCTTCCAACCTTAAGCATTCTATGATTCTATGATTCTATGCTGCAGATGCTCGGTTACAGACCTTCCCTGGGTAAACTCCTTTTCATTACTTTTTATGTTCTGAGTAGTTTTGATGGTAATTATTGAAGGAAATGTTTTCTATGCCATGCTGTTTTATGTTTTTTTTTAAAAAAATACTGAAGGCATAGTGCATCTAAAAATCTACACACCTGCAAAACACTTGGAATTACAGTATCCTAAACTAGTCTATGAGCTTTCCCATGTGCTTCTCCCAGGCACTCATCTCATACAGGAGCTCTGTTTGCAATTCTTGCTGGGTTTTAGCTGTACAGCTGAGGACGATGCTGCTCTCACAAGTGCACTCTGTTGCTGGAGGTTATTGCATGCATAAGAACAGCAGTATTTAACTTCAACCCCCCCAAATCCATGTAAGATGACACGTGAGGTTACAATTGTTGAGTGCCCTCAGAGCTCCCTGTCCTGCTGGTCTGCTCTGCCAGGGAAGGGGTGACTTGCAGCAGAAAGCAAAGGCAGAAGGATGAGGGCAGTGAGTTCCAACTGCTGTAGTTAATCCAAGAGGGAATATGAATAAAAGATCTTTGCTGCTTCCTAAATTGCCTTCAGGAAGGGACTGGGGAAATTGTGTCATTTCTGGAGTGCTGTCTTGTTCTAGTTGATCTTCCCTTTCCATGGCATCTTCCTTTTCTTACTTTTTTCCTTCAGTTGCTTCTCTCTTTTTTCTGTCTTGTTTAGATACTTGCTTTTTAAATGGTTCTTCCTGTCATAAAAGAGGGAAATCAATACAAGTGCACATAAAATAAAGGCCCTCGCAAGCCTTCATTTGCTAACTCTGTGATCTATTTTCAGGGTTGTCTCCTGGGACCAAAGCTCAGATAGCAGAGAAAGGTGACAGATGTGCTTGCTGGTGATACTACTGCTGTCCTCTTCCAGGGCGAAGGAAGGGAGTTCTTCCTTTTGTTCATTAGGACTGTCTGGGCCCTCAGAGAGGCAGCAAATTCCATTAGGAAGCCTGGGGAACAGCTTGATTTGGGTAACATATTTCCTCAGTTTTCAGTTGGGATCGGTAAAGAATGGTCTTACAGAAAGATTCCCATTTGCTCCTTCTCTAATATCTATGGCCAATAAAAAGTGTTAACTTACAGAGGGAAGAGGAATGTTTGGTGGGAAGAAGTGTGACTTGTCGTTTATTAAAAATTAAGCATAGACAAACCCGCAGCACCATTTATTGCAAATCTTGACATCTATTCTCCATTTTTCAGCTGTATCTTTGCTGGCTTTCCCATGTTTGGCTGAAGAAGCCTCTTACAGCTGCCTGCATCATGCTGCCTTATTTACCTTTCAAGTGTGCTTCAAATGGGGTCAACCATTTCTGTACTGGAGATTGAAAAAATATTTTCTAGTGGCTACTTACTGATGTTCTAGTACCTGTTAGCTATGGAGCAGAGACTTACAGATGACATGGAGAGGGTAGTATCATGTGTTTTTTTCTGTATGACAATTTAGTTATGCTTTTATGAAAATCTTCCAGCGTTTGGCCAAGAGAACCAGAAGTGTCTGAATATCTTACAAACATAATTTTGGTATTTCCTAACTGTGGAGCTTTACAACCTTTAGGTTTAGGACTTTACAACCTTTATTTTTAATATAGTTCTTTAGTTTATAATGATGCATCTGCAGTATTTAAAGCTGCCTAATATTTTTGGATTATAGAAACATATCTTTTAGTTGCTTATTTTTTGTCAAGCCTTAACTGTTTAGGTTGAAGCTTCCTATACTAGTTTGCTGTATCAGATTGAATAGTTTTGGGAAGCTTCAGCAAAAACTATACAGCAGTATTCAGGAATAGTCTCAGGACAGGAAAGAAGTTGGTGAGGGGATCTGTTTCTGGCTTGCAAAGCAATATTTCTTATTCTGTCTTTCCAGTGCTTCCCTTCTCCTGAGCAAATCCTCTGGAATTAGAAAGAGGACCAAAGATTTGGCAAAGGGATAGTCCTGGGATAAAAGAAATACAGCGTATTGTCCTCTGGAAGATTCAGCCAGATGCGGATGAGCTGCACCTTTGGAAAAAAATCTCCTTTTTACCTGTGTTGAGAAACCAGAGGGTTGAAAACCACGTACCTGGGAGACGCGAGGCTGGGCGCCGCGGGCGGGCAGTGAAGGCAGGGCCGTGGCGCAGGCCCGTGCGCCCAGCCACCCTCCCCAGGCGGGGAGGGGCCTCCCGGGTGAGGAGCTGGGCCCGTGGAGGCCGCGCAGCCGCGGGGATGTGCATGGGCATGGGGACGGGATGGGGAGGGATGGGGAGGGAGAGGGCTGAGCGGACAGCGGCTCCCTCCCGCCCCATGGCCGCGTTCGAGGCAGGTCCGCGGCGTTGCCGAGAGCTGTGGGGTGCCGAGTGTGCAGGCTCCGGGCCAGGGGTTTGGACACGGAAAGGTTAAAGGCTGTCATTTTATTTTTTTCTCTGGGAAGCTTGCTAGTTCCTCATTTAGCTGATTTTATAACTCTCCTTTAACTCTCTCTCTTCTATAACTCTCTATTGCTAATGAAAAGAAGCAGCTCATTGCTTTTCACAGAGTGGGCAGCATGGATTTTGGAGTCCTTGATGCATATCACCATTTGGTCACTTTAAATATTGCTGCTGTGTTTGCCTCTGTCTGAACTGTTGAGCTCCTTTTTTAAAAAAGTATTTTTTATTTTCAAGAGGGCTGTGTTTCTGAGAGGACAGTCTGATTGCAGAAACGAAAGCACTTAGGAGCAGCCTAATAAAGCCTGAAAAGCACTCGGGGATTCATTTGATGAAAGTGGCTGTATAAAAGGAAGGTTGTTAACTGCGCAACTGGCTGCCAGTTGCAGTTAATCTCTAGCACAAAAGCAAAGCAAAAAGCCCCACAGAGGCAGCTCCCATCTAGGAAGAACTGGGAGGGAAAGAACAGAAGTTGGGGGCTACCTTTTGGCTGTGTGCTTTATGCTGCCCATGAGGGTATCTCGTAATGTTGGCCATGTATTTTTCAGCTTGTTGCCAATCCTCATACCACCTCTGAACTTGATACTGAGATTCGGACTTTGTAATTCTATCCAGAATGGCACGGTTTTCTTGGCTTACTCTCTGCAGCTCCTTCTTTCGTTTTTCCCTATTTAAACTAAAGGAAAAACAGACAAACAGAATCAAACTTCTTCACAGTTATTACTGTTCCCAAGCCTGGAAACACAGAATATGAAACATCTGCCAATCTTGTGTTGGAGGAGAATTCTCTTAAGGGTCTTCTACAAGCATTTCCTCCTCCTTGCATCTGCTTTAATCAGCCTTCGCAACTCCATCAGTTTGTCCTTCTGAAGATAATTTTTCTACAGGATCTTCTAAACTGAGTCCTGACTATGTGGAAACTTGATGCATTTGACAAGAGGAAAAATGCTCTATTTAATGTTTTATCTTTCAGCCCTCCAGGCTTGAAATTGCTTTAGTGCTATACTGAAGGTGAAGATGTAACTGGTGTCTGAGGTACTTAATGGTTTTACTCATTTGTGTTTTGACCTCTATTTTTTTGTTGAAACCTCATGAACTGAGTTGGGAAATACGAAGACAGTGGAGATAAGTGTATGACCTCAAGCTCTTTGCAATTTTTTTAGTGATTTCTAAGACTGATAACTTTCCGCAGATAACTAAGTTGATCTCACAGCAATTTACTGCTACCAAAAAAAAAAAAAAAAGAAAAAGGCCTTGCGGTTTTCCTTTCTTTCCATGGTCTTCTCCCTCCCTGCTTCCAGCTGTGGGGTCTCCTCCCTCCCTTGCACCAGTCCTGGAATTCATCAGGACCTTGCAAAAAACGGCAGGAAAAGGTTGGTTTGTTTTCACTGGGTTAGTTTTCTGCCGTTTCTTGACTTTAAGTACCTGATGGAGAGGTTTGATGAAAGCCAGAGTTGATCCAAGGGAAGCAGCAGGAGGTTGCTGCTTGGATCAAGAAGGGAGAGAGGGAGGATATTCTTCTCTTATCCTTATGGAGTCGTACCTTCAGCTACATGGTTAACTGATGCTCCCTGATACTTGCACAGATCTGGGTATTATTTATCAGTGACAACACACATATATGTGCCATAAAGTGCATTTATAGGATGTGGACATGAAAAACGTATTTCAAATCATTTCTGTTTTCCCAAAGGACTGTGCACCTGTCTGGTTATTCCTGACCACAAAATGAGGCAAGTTCTACCTAGATCACTGGAATGTGAGCAACAGTTTTCTGTCTAGAGACACGTTAGAGTCCAACGAGCAGTCACTTTCTTGTGAACTGGTCTGTACATGAGTCTCAAGAAATAGCAACTGCCTCCTGAGTTACATAAGCCATTCTCTGCTGTACAGCATGGATTTTTTCCTGCTGCTGACTAGGTTGCTCTACTAGGGGTGCATATTTCCTTGTGAATCAAAAGAATGCAAGGTGGGTCTCTCTACTGATAAATCTTCAAGGCATATTTTGCTTCATCCCCCTTGAGCAACAATTTTTATCTTGATATCTGGCACCTTCCTGCTTTTTTTTTCACCTTCTTAATTCTAATTTTGCTCTGTTTTTATTTCATCACTATGCTGTGGATCTCCCTCTTTCCAGTGGTGTCTGAAGGAACAACTGGCAAAGTCAGCAGCAGTGACTCATTCAGCAGCAACAACAGCTTTGCTGAGACATAATAGGTTTGCTTCATTTATTTCCCTTGAAGCAGGGCAGTGTTCTCTTTTTGCACTCCCTCAGTTAGTAAGTAGAAAAACTAATCTAAAGCCATCTTCTCTTGAGCAGAGGGTAGGAGGAAAATGACCTGGTGTTGGATTTCCTGTGGCAGGGCAAGCAAATGGCTTCCTGAAGTGTTGATTATACCTTAGGCTGCCTTTGGGTATGTGTCCATGCAGAGCAGTTTATCCTATGCTATGTTTGTCACTGGAAAAGTAACTCGATAACTAAATGCAAGTAGTGCTGCTGATGTTACCTTTTGGCCTTATAGTCATTTTTATTGTCGATTTGTCCTTTTGTCCTCATGATGCAGGACATCTTCTCCAGCAGCAAACGGTTATCTCTCTCGATGACTGAAAGTCGATCTTCCTCCAACTTTGTGTACAGAAGGGATAAAGAAATGCTTCTGTTTTTACAGGACCATAGCAAACAGCAGTGATGTTTTGACTACCTAGCAGGGTGGTCAAAGACAGTTGCTGTCTTCTCCTCTGTGCAGAGTGTGACAAATTTTGATCAGGTAAAGCTTCACTCTCTTGTTGAGAGAACCCTTTCAGCCCATTTTAATGTTGGCCTCATGGCACAGATCCCTTTGAAATGCAGAGAATTTGACCCTCAAACACTCTCCTGTCATGCAGCGACCTGCATGATGACCAAATGTACTTCCTCAGTGTAAGCAAAATTTCTGTAAGTATTTGTCAATGTATTTTCCAGGGTCATAATTATCATTAATGTTTATAGAAGCATTCTAAGCTCAAATCAAAAAAAAAAAAGATTGTAAGAGAGACTGTTCAAATACATGATAGGACTTATCCAAACTCCTGTGAAGTCAATGGGAGTCTTTCCATTGACTTCATTGCACTTTGGATCAAATGGAGAATTTTCCATTGACTTTAGTGGGATTTGGATTAGGTCCAGTCGCAGGCCATTCTTGTCCTTGGAGGAGTTTCAAGCTCATGTAAGAGGAGAAGCAACAACTGGGTGAAATGAACAAATGGGGAGAGATGTGCGAGGTAGTGCATGCTAGCTCTGTGCATTGTTAGCATGATTTTAAGCCTTGTTATTTCAATTTTAAGTGGAAGTTATTAATGATCTCAGTCACTTCAGTGTATCTGAAATTAAAGTGTGTAATGGGCAAAATATCTTAGTGTCAAAAGTGGGACAAGAATTGAAGGAATCCAGAGGATTTTCCATCTCTCAGAGGAAAGGAGAATCTTGCTGGATATTTAGATACCTTGGGACATTGCCTAATTTGTAAAACAAAGCAAAAAACACAACATAATGTTGCTCGGGGAACACAAATCCATGCTAAAATTGTGCTTGTGAGGATTGAGGAACAATGGGAGAGAGGTGCAGAAAAGAAGCTTCAAAGTTACCTGTGTCACAAGAATGTCATCACCAGCAGGGCTGAGTTGGAGGTTGTAGAGAAAGGGTGGGTGGGGGAAAGGAGGGAAATTACTTTTTTCATAGATAGACTTCTACCTTGCACTCTCACAAGACTCCCAGAAGAGAATTATGGAAGAGATGGGACTGTTTTGAGCATACTGACTTACTATTCTCCCTTTTTTTCTTTTTTTTTTTTATGTATTTGTTTTCAAGCAATCCAAAGATATTGCATATCCTATATAAAAGGAACTGGAATCCCTCCTCACACTCCTCTGTTTTGAATGGTTCATGTAACAGTAGCAGGTTGCTGTAGGAAATCCAGTGCATCTGCCTTGTTTGCTAGGCCGTATGATTAAAGCAGGCCAGATACTGGTCAGACTGTAGTATAAATGCACCTGAAAACAGTGCATTAAGTAATCCATCCGTCTCTAAACACCCCTGATGAGAATGACTGCAAAGGAAGGAACTGGTTACTGGAAGATAAGCTTTTTGCAAGGCGTCTTTCTGTCTTTCTTTCTGTCACACATTTGAAAGAAGCAGGAGGAGGAAGAGATTAAGCCCACGGCCTCACTCCCAGGTGTCAGGACCCATTTTTCAAAGGGACACGCCTGAGATTAGTGAGGTTTGGGGGTTGTTGTTAACCCGTGGGGCTGTTGTGTACACATGTAATTTTCCATTTTCAGGGGAACTGTTTCTGTATCATTTTTACGGTAAAAGGAAAAAAATAAGAACAGATTCCAAGTCCCACTGTAACATATGGTTTTATGCATGGGGGAGAAATGAATTGTTTTGATAGTGAAATAATTTTAAGGTGCCTGGGGATTATTATGCCATGCAGTGAGATGATAAACATTTTTAAGTGAATGAATCTAAAGTTCTTACGTGGGCACTTATACCAATGCCTCAAGGGCACTCTGTTGTAAATTAAGTTGTTGACAGGGTTTAGCCGCACATATTTTTAAGTGCCTCAGGTTTTTGTTGTTGTTTTTGTTGTTGTTGCTTCCTTTTAGTGAGTAGAGTTAATTAGTTAGCAATTTATTTTCCACTGCCATCTTTTATAAAAATCTGCCTCTTGGGAGCAATAAGATTTTGAAGGATAACTGCCAGTCAAGGCTGCCCATTGTTTGTTGTGCCTCAAATATGTTAACATCCTTTTATTCAATTCATTGCTCTGTATCTTGATGATTGTGTCATTTCTGTTATTTGGGGTGATTTTTACATGGTACGCAGAATTGTCTTTTGGGAGGATTTACCCTTGGTACTTAGTAATCTGAAGCAGTTTGATTATACCAATAATAATAAAGAAAAAAGTAGCTTGTTTAATAGGAATGGGAGGGTGTTACCCAGGGATTCGGATAGTCCTGTTGCAAAAATCACTGTGGCAACATAAAAATGGGCTTGAAATTTTGACCATCTGGTAGTCTGCGCTGTGGATTTTTTCTTTGTTTTCTTTGAGAGGATATATGAAGGAAAACATGCTAGTGCTAAGTGAAGTAAGCAGTGTCATACCTTCAGCTTCCCTAGTTTCAGATGAAGATGGCTGTATGTTGCAGGGGTACTTGTGTCCACTACTGGTTTGGCTGCCTGGATCTGCAACAGAAGAGAAATGTTTATCTGGAAGAAACGTTTTTGCTGGAAATAATCTTGCATATCATTATGGGAAATCTCTTAATTCCCATGTTCTGCTCTGCTAGCCAGGAGGAACACTATTAAGCAGATGATTCATTATATCAGCAAAGCCAGGCTTGCCCAAAAGAAGAGCAGCGCGAAATGAAAATGTTAAAAGCGACTGTTCTGAAGCCTCCTGGCAATGCAAAATGCTCTCTGCGCTGCAGCGGTGTAGAAATACATTAAGCCAATTATCACAGTGTTCGTGTTACAATAAAAGAGGCATGGTCTTAAGAGAAGATGGTCAGGACTTCTTAGACACCCCGCAGAAAAAGATGGCTAATGTAACAAAGCAGCACGTATTCCTAGACTGTATCAGGTCTCCAGGGGGATGCAAGCTCGGGATGTTGCCAGAAAGGCGTAAGCAATACCAGATCAGGGCATAATCTCCATCTCCAGCCTGAGCAAGAAGCCTCAAGCCGGAGGAAGAAGGATCTGTGCGGTGCCTTGGACTGAGAAACCTGCTAGAGAGGCTGCTAGCAAGGTGTGCAGGGAAGACGCAACAGGGACCACCCTCCTGGAGTCCAGTTCTGCAGGGCAGTGGGACCATGTTGGCTAAAACAACACCATGATTTCTATCATGAAATGCATCTGGAAAGCATGCATATGGAGAACATGCATTTTATACCATTTGTCATGCCTAATATTTGAACTAATACATCTCAGGCTGACTCAGACTTGTGGAGTTATTTGCCCTGTGATGTAGAACAAGAAGAGGAACACTTGCTACAAAACAAAAAATAAAATAAAATAAAATAAAATAAAATAAAATAAAATAAAGGGTTTGTCAGGTAAGAGCAGTATGTGCAGCAATACCACAAACTCCTGCAGCAGGACACACACAAAGCCGTGCCTGAGTCCAGCCGAAGCTTTTCACATCTGAGTCTGTAGCAGCTTTGTTTTGAGTCAAGGACTCAGCGTGAATCCCTGATGACAGATCTGTTATATGTTCTACCAAGAACATTATTTTTCTAGTGTGGCAAATGCTTTATAGAATGGGACAGCATTTAGAAGTGCCTAAATTTTTCTAAAATTCATTTGAAGTGCTCAACTTTTTGGGAAAACATGCAGCTGTTTTTTCTGTGGTGGGGACAGTCTCTAAGAAGGTGTGTGATCCTGGAAGGTGCTGACAGCTCTCAGCTCCCATTGATTTCAATAGCAGAGTGCTCATCTTAACAGGATTTGGTCTGCAAAGAATTAAGCAGTTGATTTGAATGGCTGGCAGAACTAAATGTGCTAAATCTCTGAAGGCTTTAGTGTTTTTTGCTTCTGCTGCTGCTATCTCTTCCACTTCAGCTGTGCTAGGTTACTGTGCTATTGAACTATTTTAGAATAAAAGTAACTTTAAGAAGACATACAGTTTTTAAGAGAGGGTTGTTACCGTGCCAGTCAGTAGAAATAAGCAATGTGAAGAATCGGGTTTTATAATTTTGCAAGCTGTGATTTTAATTTATAGCTGTTAAAATTATAGAACTGTTTCAAACTTGAACAACAAAAGGCAGTTTAGAAACATTTTTTTTCCTGTAAAATTTGTATCAAAGTAACTTTATTTTTCTGCAAAGCAATACATCTGATTTCTTTCCTGTCCTTATATATGCACAAGTGTAAAAAGTAAATCTTGGTATTTTTAAAGCCCATCCTAATCTCTGTTGAGATACTTTCCAGAGCCAGAGGTGTTTCTGGACAACCATTTTATATTTAATTCTCTGCAAAATATTGCAGAGAAGAGACATAACTATATTTTTTTTCATTCTTTTCTTCCATTAAGAAAGCAGCACAGTTATTCATGCTGAAGGTATTTGATCTTGTGCATGCAGAAATATACTGGCACATGTTTGCACTTCTGCATTATGGAGGCAATTATAACTTACCGCTGGATTTTTGCCATCTCCAAGGAAATATACGTGCGTGTTACATTATTATTATTATTATTATTTCTTCCTCATTCCTAATTTTTCCCCTGTTTTCTTATTCTGGTTTACTTGCGAGCTCCTTTAATGCAAAGCCTGGACATCAGCAAGCAGAGGCCCTTACAGTTTCTTACAGGATGTCGCTATCACTCTTAGCACAGCAGAGCAGCGGGGGCCGCTGTGAGCTGTATCATCTGCTGGTAGCCCTGCTCACTGCAGCTCCTGCAGCACACGGGTACCCCTGCTCCAGGGGCTGCCACTCACCAGAGTCAATTCCCTCACTATGTGTCTTTATGATATATAACTAGTCTTTATTCGTGGTCTCTCAATGCCTTAGAGCACACACACTCACACATATATGTACCTGAAATGCTCTGAGCATTGAGGGTTCTGTATACACACACACATATATGTACCTGAAATGCTCTGTATACACGACGGATATATAGACTACTTCATACTACGACAGATATGTAGAGTATTTCAACTACACTAGTATCAGTTCCCTGTTTTAAAAGAGCCAATGTTTAAATAGCTGTGCTCATACACAATAGCAAGCCTCTCAAGAGGTTAATTCACAGAGAAGGAAGTTTGTTTATTTAAACATTGTCAATTTGATTAGAAAAATATGTCAAATTCAATTCTCTACTTTGTGTTTAACTTTTTTTCCACCTGCAAGTCAAATTATGGGAACAATGGAAGGAAGGAAGGAAGATATTTTTATATGGTTAATGAAACAGACCCGTTCTGGAAATAATGAAGAACTATTTCTTCATATTAAAGCTAATTATGTTGTGACAGTCTTCCTAAGACAGCAATACAGCTGAATCACCACTGATATTATTTGCTACTTAGGGATTTGCATTAAGGGAGAAGTCCTGCATTATTTGCCATTTGGAGCAGATGACTGTCTGAATCTTTTTCACTTCTAAATCTGTGAGCACTGCTAATGATAATTTTAAATGGTCACAAAAGATAGTACCTATGTTTGCAGGCTATTCTTAAAATGCATCTTTTGCAACTTATTCCTGATCATCAACTCTCGTAACAGTATTAAGAATGAATAGAGAATTGCTTCAGCCTCGTGGGTGAGCTGAGCCTTGCACGAAGGCCACCGCTCAGTATCAGACCGTTGCACCTACCCTTTTCTTGTGTTCTTCATACTTGGCTTTGTCCCATTTTAGCTGGAGGTATTTGTTGCCACACGGTAACGCTGGCTGGTAGGCTCGGTGCATCTTACACAAAAACGGGCATCTCTGAACTTGGGCTTTGAAAGTCCGGGTAATATCGGCCCGAGCCTTCTGAAAGCAAAGCCCTGGAGCCTGGTGGTATGTTTGCCGCGGCTCACGTGGTCGTTGTCATGGCACTGCTGCTGAGAACAAGAATGAGGAGCTGGGGGTAGCGTTTCGAACAATACATGGAACAAACAGCAAACAAGAACCGAACATTGTAACATTCCAGAGGGTATTTTATTCATATATAAAATAGATTACCAATTATACCTCGCTGGTCAGACCTACCTCCTGCTGATTAAGGAAAGATAGTGGTGTAAGCTATTAATAATACTTCATATAGTGCTATAAATATGCAAAGGACTGTACAAAAGACTAAATTTGCTGAGGCTTTAATTGAAAGGCATGCCTCAGTGCAGCACTCGGTGAGCTGTGGCATATCGCACTGCAACAACCTGCTTAAAACATTTCTTCATTGACAAGTGAGTGCTTCTCAAAAGCCACAGCAAATGTGTTTATAGCAAAGCATTCCTGGTTTTTAATACCCTTATCACCTTCCTTTAAGTTCAATGCCATCTGATTGCTAATGAGGTAGGGAAGGCTCCCCCGGGCTTGCAAACGCCAGTTGTCTCCCGAATTGGCCACTGTTTCTCACAGAGGGCCATCCTCAGTCCCTTGGTTCTCGGTTGCCTTTGGCAGGGAGGTGAAAGGGAAAAGACAAGTTTCCTCAGGCCCCTGCCAAATGCCGAAGCTGCCTCCGCTTGTTGGAGCTCTGCTTGCCCCCTCCAAAGGGGCCCTGATCCAGTGAGACAGAAGCAGATATCAGGTTAAAACCTTGGTATGTATTTATTTTAGTTTGGAAAGCAAACACTGTTATTGGGGTAAAAATGATGGAAGGAATTCTTCTTTTTTTTTTTTTTTTGGTTGCTGGGGATCTCATACTTTCCTGATAATGTAATTGGAAGGTATGAAGAATGTCAGTAGAATTAGTAGAGAGTACAGAGATGAAATAGATCTTTCTTCCCAAATATAAGTAACATCTAACTGTGTGCAGTATATAACACTATATTTTGCTCTTGAAGAAGTAGAAATGCTTAGGCCCTCATTCGTTGATCAGGGTCATGGCCTCTGTCTTTAAATGCTGCATGTGTAAGGCTCCATTAGGGACAGATCCAAAAGGCATCACTATCAAAGGAATCTTTATGTTGATTTTGATGGAGCCCTTAAAATGTGAGCAAAACTTAGTCTCTCATGCTGGAAACATGGCCCATCAAGAATGTGGAAACTCTGGAACAGTTTCCTTGCTGCTTTGGAATTACAAAGTTTGTGAGAGAAGGGAAGTGGCTTTCAACTTCCGTTGTGGTCACCTCCTCTCTTTACCCTCAGAAACTGAGGACGATATATGCATTTGTTCTAGTTCATTTTTTGGTGTTGTTTTGGTTTGGTTTTGGGTAAGAAAAGCAAAACTCGAGGAAAGCTGTTTTGAAATTGAGTGTCTTGATGTTGAGCTACCTAAGGTCCTGCAAGTGGTTTCTATCACCAGATGCTGCTGGAAGGCAGGAGCTGCAGGGGCCTATTTCTGCTTATGATTCCATGCTTCAAATGGAGAGCTACAACCAATCAAGGGGGCATTCTTTAGAGTGATATTCCACTGGTTAGTCAGAGTTAACTAACAACTCGTGAAGCATCCTTCATCCAAACCAGAGGACTGGACCTACTCTCTGTACAGGATGATGCAGATGTTTATGAAACATTTATTCTGAAGACTGTTTAATTTTATTAAGTAGCAGTCATGAGAATTTCTGTGTTACGTACAGAAGGACTTGTGTGTGATTTCTGGATAGCAAAAGTTACTTGCTGAAGAAGAATGAAGGATGGATATAGAGGTACATAATGAAGGCGAGAAGATTTTTACCCCAAAGCATTTTTCAGTGTATATGAAGTCCTACAGCTTCTATACAAAGGAGAGTTGTGTTTTCTGCAGCATAAAAGCAATGTGGATAATACCAGTCTACTTCTTTAATGGAGCAATCTTGGAACATGCTGAGCACTTTTTGTGAGATTTCAGCTCTTACAGATTTCTTGTTTTGTTGGTTTTCAGCCTTCCCTCTCTTCTGGTCTGATTTTTGAGCAAGCCTGTTTGTACAGCATGAAGGGCTCTGAGCTCTGCGGGGTGATACTGATGCTAGGAATTTGGCTCTTGAGTTACTTCCCCCTTGAACTCTGTGCTGAGGATAGTGGATGCTGCCCCTTCCTCTCCTTGTGCTGTTGCCAGAAGAGCTGATGCCAACTGCAGCAGCTGCTAATGCTAATGGCCCAGCCATTATGGAATGAGTTAAAGAAAGAGATGCTCCTTCCCCCACTGCACCCCCGATATAGATCGTGTCTTAGGAGATGCTGTTGTTTACCCTGACCAGAAGTGCATTTTATCCAGTTTGCTTTTGCTGTGTAAGATACACACATACATATATTGCAAAAGCAAGAGGCTGAGTACACAGGTTTTAAAGCTTTATTTTTTTTCTATAGATATGAAGAGGAAAGTAAGTCCTGTTTTTTTTTTGACAGCTTTATCAGTTATTTTAAAGTCGTGTTAATTCCTGGCTTTATTCTGCAAAGTGTCTAAGCCTGCGTGATTTTAACCCATGCATAGCCTGAACTGCACAGCTAAAGTCACTTATGTGTGTGTGTGCTTCAGGATGAGGCCCAGTCTCCTCTCATTCACTGCGTTTCCCTGGACGAGGGCTTTTAGCGTTCTTGAAAGAAGACATGCCTTTTTTGTCACCTCAGTATGTTACATGATAGGATCCCAAATTGTGACTTGGACTGCAAACACACACGCCCCCTTATCATATAACTCCTAAACCACCCGACTGAGTAGCTGAAGAAGATGGACTCATCTGTAGTTGGGGGATAAAAAAAGCAACTTGAAAAGCTCTTGGTGTGAGTGAGACCCTCACACGTGGGTCTGTGCGCACGTGTGAAGCAGAGCAACGGCTCTGCAGCGGGGCACGAGCGCCCGCGGTGCAGAGCGGCGCGGGGGGAAACGAACCGCAGGGCTAGGGCTCCCGTGGCAGTACAAAAGCAGGTTTACCAGATGCTTCCTTTAAACTTGACCCTTTTGGGAAAGTTGGAGCAGGAATTAATTTTTGGCTGGGAAAAAAGAAAGTCTGTTTCCCACTTATTGTTTGAGAAACAGAGAGAGGGGAAAGGGGGTGGAAGAGAGGAAGGGAAAAACTACCATTTATATCTATCATTTATATCTATATATATTTGCACACACACACAATTTTAAAACTTCTAGACAATGTTTGATAAGATCCAGGATTTCCTCGCTCTATGGTAAAAATGCTAAGCAGAAAAGTTGTTGGGACTAATATTTCCTTGTTAGAACTAAAGGTGCTCGAGGCCGAGCTGCCCCTGTCCCAGCAGCAGCCCTTGGTTCCCGGTGGAGGCCGTTCCTGCTGCCGAGCCTCCAAGGGGGCCCATGGTGGCCCATGGTCCATTCCGATGGCGGTGGACAACTCGGGTGAGGCGCTCTGAGCTGAGCACCCGCGTTCAGCCAAGCACCTTCGCAGCAGCTGGGGGCATTTATTGTTTTTCTGCGTACCAATGTCACTGCAGCAAAGCTGGGAACAGCTCTGTGCGTGCTGCGTGGCGGTGTTGCCGATTGTCCGTTTTCTACGTTGTGGGTTTTCATTTCATTTCGTTATTTCATCTTTTGCATGCCAACTTGGGCAGGCGTTAGCGGCGCAAACCTTGGCCTTGTTGCCAGCGCTCTGTTCTGCAGACCTGACTAGCCTTCGACAGTCATTTGTTTCTGATTCTTCTTGTTTCGCCTCAGAAATGAGTGAAAAATACCCAGAGAGAGGCACTGTGTTTCCCTAAATGCAAGCTTAGCTAAAGGTGAATGCTGGGCTGCTCTTCCAAACTGGGTAGGAGTCATCTACTTAAGGGCTTGAGCATAATTTTGGGGAGAAGAAAAAAAATACTGAAACAATATATTTGCAGCTGCGACAGTCTATCTCTCCCCACTATTTTGGGGAGACCTGAAATTGTAATATTGTGAAATTACCCGCTACTAGTAGCCCCATCCCTGGCCACGCTCAGGTACAGCAAGGGAGTGCTCTGACAAGAACTGCTCGTCTCACCTGTGCATCCTGCCTATCCCCGTGCCTAGCTGCTCGTCTCACCTGTGCATCCTGCCCGCGCTCTGCCTGTCCCACACAGGCGGAGGAACCGAGCCCTGGGATGCTCCCCGTGGGCCCGTCCGATGGCTGACTTGGGTTACTTGGGCTTGCTGGCATGGAGGAAGCACGTTACATAGTGCTGGGCCTTGTCTCCCTTTCTCTCTGACTATCCTCTTATTGAGAGAAGATGTCTCGGGCAGGCAGGTTTTGCTCTCCTTAACTGTTTTATGGGTCAGAATGGTCAACTTCTGCCAATGAAGCTGAGAGCCAGGGCTAATTGTAATACCTGGACTGAATGGGAGGTGGAACACTCCAGAGCTGAATGCTGTTACCATTGCTGGGTATCCAAACTCTGGATCGCTTCAAGGTTTTCTCATTCTTCAGCCTCAAGATTTGAGCCAGGGTAGGGGAAGAAGTCCTTTATACGCACGGTGCAGGTGAACGGGTACTTATGCTGTTGATAATGTGGTGGTGAGAGCTGCTGATCTGTGATAGCGCTGTGCTGGTGCTGAAATGTTAGCTGCATGCATTAGTTGCAGATTAGACTTCTTGCTTTCTGATCAGATAAAGGCAAGTAACATTATTCCCTGCCAATTAATTTTCTGTTAGTTTAAGCAATGATTTGTCAAGGATTCTACAAAAATGCACATAAATCCCCTCACATGCAAAGTAAACTTCCTCCCAGGGGCGAGATGAATATCCTGCTGGGTACTGGAGCATGTTTTGCTCCCTGACGTTTGTGCTTGTTTGATGAGTGAGTGACCGGACCTTCCATGGTTGGAACTAAGCTGAGATATCACAGCTATTTCCAGCAGG